CTAGGTAGTTAATCTGCTTATAACAGTAAACCTATATAAATAAGAAAATAAAAACTAAGGAGTTATTAGGATTATAAGTAATATACTTATAATAGATAATAATAGCATATAAGCAGTAGGTCTTCTAGAAGAAGATAACTACTAAAGGAACATAGAATTTATAATAATAGAAACTAGTCTAAGAATGCAAGTTAATATAATTAAAATAAGGTACAAAAATATAGCTATTACTAAGGCAGCATTAGGATATATACCTGCAGTTTAAAATAGAAGATAGAAGGATAATAAATAGGTTAGCATAAAGCCTACTAATAATAAGATAGAAGTTAATAGCTTTCCTATAGAGTAATAGATGCTAAATATAGTATAGAAAGTTAGGCTACTTAACTACCTTATAAGTAACTCTAACGCGCTTATAAAATAAGTACTATAGATAATAGTAGAAGTCTTACTATAAGACCTATTAGTATTAGCGCTAGAACTATATAAGAGAATAACTAAGCTATATTATGCATAAGCTAAGGTAGAGAAACTGCTAATACCTAAGCCTAATAAAGCCCTAGTATTTAAAGTTAGCAACCTAACACTTTCCTATCTAGAGTATGTAAAGAAAGTAGAGGGAGGACTAGTCTACTTTCTCCCTAGTCTAGTAGACCTAGACTTACTAGACTAGTAATTTCCTAATAGGGAAGCGTATAGCCCAAAGAGATAATAAAGATATAAAAAAGAGTAGATAATAAAGATATATAATAGTATATATAGCTTAAACTCTTAGTTGCTAGGTGCAGGATAACATAGGGGGAATAGGAGTACTTATACTTTCTTCCTCCCTACTATATTACTAAGTAGAATATTCTAGACAATACTAGAGTATTCTTATTAGTAATATACTAACAAGATTTCTAAGCAGATTACGCGTCTATACACGCAATCCCTACTAATAATAGTAGTATATATTTATAAGCTTATTCTAGAAGCTTCTCTATACTACTAAGAATAGAACAGTTAATATCTCTAGAACTAGTAGAGCTATAGGCTTGGTAAGCACAGGAAAATACTCCTTAGAGTTAGGAGGTTTTATAGCGTGATTACCTAAGCGCTATACCTAGCTAGGAATCTACTAGAGTAAAGATTATTCTAAGTTATCTTAAAAACTTTACACACCCCCTTAATCTTTACTCTGCAAACTAATCTATACTTATAGAAAATAGCAATTTAGTTTCTATATTAATAGTATAGATATAAATACTATAAGTAATAGAGTATAACAATCTAGAACTCTTATTACTATATAGTAGCCTTAGTAGTCTTAATATCTAAGATCTACTAGGTTTAGCCTGCTAGTAAAATCTTGAAATTTAAGATTACTAGTAGCTTTAGTTAGATTATCTGCTAGTATAGTACTAGTATTTTCATATACTAAGTCTATATTATTGCTTAGCAGGTTTTCTCTAACAAAGTGATAGGTTATATCTACGTGCTTAGTTCTAGCATGATAAACAGGGTTCTTAGCTAGTTCTATTGCACTTAGACTATCTGTTTTAATAGTATTTAATTTACCATTAAATATATTATAGTCTTTTAAAGAGGTATTATTAATAAATATCTCTTTTATAATATTTTGTAGATATAAGCTTTCTTTAGTAGCTTCTTTTAAAGACATATACTCTGCTTCTGCAGAGCTTAAAGCTACTACTTTTTGTAGTTTAGAAATCCAGCTTATAGCTATAGATTTCTTACTATTCTCTAATAGGAATATATTACCTATAGTAGATTTTCTAGAATCTAAATCGCCCCCCCCAATCTGCATCCGATATTCCTACTAGTTTTATAGTACTAGTATTATTACTAGGTATACTAGTTATACTAGTGCTAGTAGGTTTAGTAGTAGCAGATTGGCTAAATTCTAGAGATAAGTCTAATCCTAAGTTACTAGTTTTAACTAAGTAACTAAATATATAGTCTAGAGTATTATAGTGTTCTAGGCTAGGATTAGACATAAACCTAGCTAGGTAGTTAATACTATAAACTAGGTCAGGCCTAGTAAATATAGTAAGGTATATTAAACTACCTATTTGTTGCTGAAAGTTTCTAGTTAAACTAGTGCTACTTTCTTCTAGGTTTTTACTTAGTTTAGTACCTATAGGTAAAGGTATGTTTTTAGGCTTATTATTTTGCTTATTATACTTAGAAAGTATTTTAGCAATAAAGCTTCTTTGTGTAATAATAATAGATCTTTTAGTTCTATTTCTTATTATTTCTACACCTAGAAACTCTTTTATTTCACCTAAATTAGTTACTTCTAATTTAGAAGAACTAGTTAAATCCCTATAGAGATTACTAACTAGGCTTAAATCTTTTGCAAATACTAGTATATCGTCTACGTGTGTTGCAAGTACTATAGGCTTAGTCTTGTGTATAAATATACTAGTATCTATTTTTAAACTATTAAATCCTAGTTGTTCTAGAATTCTAGTTAAAAATAGCTGCCATTGTCTACTAGCCTGCTTTAGGCCATATAGAGCCTTATTTAATTTGCATACTATTCTAGTATAATTCTTTTCTTTTATGCTAGTTTTAATAGTATTTATAAGGTCTATATTATTCTTTTCTAGGCTTTCTAGAGCTTTATTTAATATAAAGTCTTCTAGGCCTATAGGCAATTGCATATAGATATTTTCTATATCTATTTCTGCATTAGGAAAAGCTTGTTTAACATCCCAAGTATATATTTCCCAATCTAGATATGCAAAAATAGACAATAAAAGCCTAATTAAGCTAGGTTTGCTAGTAGAAGCAAAGGTTTCTTTATAATTTATATTATATTTTTGTAAGAAGCCTTTAGCAACCCACCTAGCTTTATATTTTTTAATAGTATTATCTAAGTTATATTTCTTAGTAAGAACCCACCTGCCTTTAATAATAGAGCTATTATTTCTAGGCTTTAGTATAATACACCACGTATTACTATTAATTAGATCTTCTATTTCTGTTTGCATAGCTTTTAAATAGAAGTCTTTATCTTTACTTAGTAATACTTCTTTATAGGTCTTAGGTTCTTCTAAGTTACTATTATTAGAAGTAGCAAGTATATTCTCTAATATAGCTTTATTATATAGAGATTTTCAATCTTGCTTGTTATTTACTTCTTCTATAGTACTTAGTATAATACTTTCTATAGAATTGCTATTATCTTCTTCTATAATAGAAGTATAATTAGCTAATTCGTCTTCAGAATTACTTTCTAGCTCTTGTATTCTAGGCTTATTTAATATAGCTCTAGAATTAGAAGGTTTAACTATACTAGGCTTAGTTATAGTTTTACTAACTATACTAGGTTCTAGTCTAGTAAATATACTTTGTATATTACTAGAGTTATTAGGCTTATAAAAATAACCTTCTATAATTTTGCAATCTCTAGCAGTTATAATTTTATTACTACTAGGATTATAGAGTTTATATATATTAGCCCCTATAAAGCCTATTAAATAGTAAGGCGTTGCTTTAGAGTCTAGTTTCTTAGTAAATAAGCTAGGCTCTTTATAGTAAGTAAGAGAACCAAATACTCTAATATTATCTATATTGGGTATTTCTCTATACTTTAAATAGTAGGGCGTTTTAAACTCTATAGAGCTATTAGGTGTTCTATTATATAGGTAAACAGCAGTTAGTATAGCTTCACCCCACATTAATTTAGGTAAATTGCTATTAATTAATAGAGCTCTAACCTTATTAAGTATAACTCTATTAATTATTTCTGCTGCGCCATTTTGCTCAGGAGTATAAGGAGCAGAATATCTAGTTTTAATACCTTTACTAGTTAGATAATTATCTAGTTCTCTAGATTTAAACTCATTATCTAATTGCAAGGCTTTAACCTTATTATTATTAAAAGGTTTACTAGATTCTATACTATTACTAGTACTAGAATTATTTCTTGCCTCTAGTTCTAATTCAGTAATAGTAGTCCTAATAACATCTATAATACTTTTTCTAGACTTAAGTAACTTAATAACTAAGTACTTAGTATAGCTATCTCTAAAAGTAATATAGTATTTATAGCCTTTTAATGCTTTAGGCCTAATAGGACCTCCTATATCTATATATATTAAATCTAGATAGGCATTTACTTTAGTACTATCTTCTTTGTTACGTAATTTAGTTAGTTTAGATTGTATACAAATTATACAATTATCTAAACTAGTAGAAGCAGTACTTATATCCTCTAGATTTATATAGTCTACTCCTTTAGTAGACTGTTTTAAGTGCTTAATAGTGTTTAGGCTTATATGCCCTAACCTATTATGTGCTAGCTCTATAGTATTTTTATTTAATACTATTTCTTCTAGAGTATCACTAGAACTACTAGAGTTACTAGTATTACTAGTATAACTAGAACTACTAGTATTGCTAGTATAGTCTTCTTCCTCTAGATTATAAGCCTGTTCTATACTAAGGTTATCTTCTAACTCTTCTATAGTATTTAGAGTAGAATAAGTTTTATTATTTATAGTATTAGAACTAATAGGCTTAGAGCTAGTAGCACTAAAAACACTAACGCCTTCTTTATATTTGCCTTTAGCTAATAAAGACCTATTAGGCGTATTAATAAAACAGCTATTCTTATAGAAAGATAAGCTATAGTTTTTAGAAGTAATTAAACTTAAACTTAGTAAGTTTACTCCTAAATCAGGAACATATAGTACGTTAGTTAATCTAACTAACTGTTTAGTACTAGTAAATACTAAACTAATATCTCCTATACCCTGTGCTTTGATAGTTTTAGTAGTATTTCCCCACTTAATAGAGGTATTACTAGGCTTTAAACTATTAAATAGTTCTTTTATATAGCACGTGTGTATAGTAGCACCAGAATCTAATATAAAGTCTATAGTACTAGCAGAACTAGTAGACTTAGAAGAAACTAGAACTTGTTCTTCTTTATTGCTATTATTTATAGCTTCTGTTTTAGAATTATTTTGTTTTCTAAAACAATTAGATTCTACATGTCCCTTTTTCTTACAAAATTTACACTTAATAGTACTAGTTTTATTACTAGTTTTATTACTAGTATTACTAGTATTATTAGTGTTATTAGTCTGCATAGACATTTCTATATCATTGCTATAGCTAGAAGATTTAGAATTACTATTTCTAGTATAACTATTATAGTTATTACTAGTAGAACTATTATTATAGTTCTTAGTATTCTTTAAAGATTTAATTCTTCTATATTCATCTAGTAACTGTGCTACTATTTCTTCTAGATCTATAATAGAAGTAGATCTAATAGATTGTGTAATAACAGTTACTATATACTCAAAATCTTTATTTAGATTATTAAGTAATAGAGCAACAATAAATCTATTAGGCAGACTAATGCCTCTAGATTCTAGATTATTAACTACTCTTCTAAAGGAGTTAATATAGTTTTCTAGGTCACCTTTACAGCTATTTAAAGTAGTATTAATTAATTCCTTACTAAGCAGGAATTCACTACTAAAGCCTTTAGCTTCATATAGGCTTTTTAAAGTAGTCCATAATATATAAGGATTACTTATAAATCTAGTTTGTAATAGAGGGCCATCCTCTAAAGCTAGTTTAATTAGGGCTGTAGTTTTATAGGCGTTTTCATCTAGAGGCTCTATTATAGTAGGGTTATTAATATAGTTTAAATAACCTTTTTCTACTATAATAGCTTCTATTCTAATAGCCCAAATATCATAATTACTAGACCCTTTAAGCTTAGGTAGCTTAATAGAATCCATTCCTCTTACTTATAGTTAAATATTTATTTCTTTTATAACGTCTTATAAAATACTCTTAAATAAATACAGCAGCTAAGTAATTAGAAGAGATATAGGCTATAGAAGCAATAATAGCTAAAGAGAGTATTTAACTAGTATATACTATGGTATACTAGTATATAAGCCTTATACAATAGTAGGAAGCCTATATTACTTAAAACAGGTCTTATATCCTAAAAGCAAATTTAAGCGTTTTGTATAAAAACACTATTTTGGCTTATATAAAATCTAGCTACTAGTCTAAAATAGTACTAGTGCTATATACTATACTATTCAGTAGTTATAGTATAGGTAAAAGATTGCTAAGCTACTAGGGGGACGCTAGCGCTTACAATCTAAATAAAGGCTATTTTGCTCTTTTTACTAAATAGAGCAATCCACTCTTTAGCAAATAAAAGAGAGATTTAATAGTACTAGACTCTATAAGAGTTTTAAACTAGTAGAATAAGCCTTAAAGTACTAGCTTAACTATAAATAGCTAGTAAACTTGTAGTGCCTATTCAATAACTTCTAATAGGTCTTACTCTTAAATAGAACGCCTATATACAAATAGGTCTTATTTCTAACCAAGTATAATAATACTCTAGTACTAGTTTCTATAAACTAGACTATAAAGTAGAGTATATAAAATAGCTCTATCTTTTCTACTAAGTAGATAGGCCTTGGGCTTATATAATAGTTCTCTCTTAGCAAATAACTAGCTATTATTAAGCTTACTAATATAATATATATATATATAGTTACTGTCCCTACTAACCCTAAGGTATAAGAAGGACTCTAGCTATATATATAGAATATATATAAGCAATAATAAGCTAGTATATATAAAAGCAACCTAGTAGGGTTTGCTTATATAAACAGTATATTTTTGCGATAATATACTAAGTAATAGTAACTTACTAGTAGGTTGCCAAGCTACTAGAAGCGTTACTATAGAGTATACTATAAGTATAGTCCCTTATAGGTATCTATGTTATAGTATATAGTCTCTATAGCTTATACTATACTATAGTATAGCCGCTGCCTAGTTTGTTCTTAGTTCTAGAGTCTACCTAGAGCCTTTGTTATAGTATTACTACTATAACTCTCCTATGCCTTTAATAGAGGTCTAAATATAGAGCTTATATAAGCTAAATATAAAGACTTATTATAGTCTTACTAGGAGCTAAATAGGATAGGAATTAGTGCTCTAGTATCTTAGGTTATCCTTATTACTAAGGGCCTAAGGAACAGGGACTAATAGCAGATACTGCTTAGTAAGCTAGACTATAATAGTCCTAGTTTACTATACTTCTATACTCTAATAATAGTAGAGTAAGTAGAAGAAAGTTTAGAAGAGTTCTCTAAGATACTCTCTTGCTTTAACTTTCTAGAATCTTCTAGAACTATCTAGTTCTTAGAAGAATATCTACTACTAATAGTAGATAATAGAGATAGAAAATTCTAGATGTTTCTAGAACCTTCTACTCCTTTCTATTGCTTAGGTAAGCTGCTTATATAAGCAGTAGCTATACTAAATATAGCTAGTTCTAAGACTTATAGAATTTTCTCTAGAGGCTATAAAGAGCCGGGCTCATAACCTGTAAAGAAAGTAGAGGGAGGACTAGTCTACTTTCTCCCTAGTCTAGTAGACCTAGACTTACTAGACTAGTAATTTCCTAATAGGGAAGCGTATAGCCCAAAGAGATAATAAAGATATAAAAAAGAGTAGATAATAAAGATATATAATAGTATATATAGCTTAAACTCTTAGTTGCTAGGTGCAGGATAACATAGGGGGAATAGGAGTACTTATACTTTCTTCCTCCCTACTATATTACTAAGTAGAATATTCTAGACAATACTAGAGTATTCTTATTAGTAATATACTAACAAGATTTCTAAGCAGATTACGCGTCTATACACGCAATCCCTACTAATAATAGTAGTATATATTTATAAGCTTATTCTAGAAGCTTCTCTATACTACTAAGAATAGAACAGTTAATATCTCTAGAACTAGTAGAGCTATAGGCTTGGTAAGCACAGGAAAATACTCCTTAGAGTTAGGAGGTTTTATAGCGTGATTACCTAAGCGCTATACCTAGCTAGGAATCTACTAGAGTAAAGATTATTCTAAGTTATCTTAAAAACTTTACAGAGTATATATATATAGAAGCATATAATAGTATAATTATGCAGGCAGGCACTTATAAATTAGGTCCTAATAGATTATAGATTACTATACTAATGCTGCTATAATAGTACTAAGCAGCATATATAGAGCTAGAAGATAGAGAATAAACTATAAGCTAATAATAAGAATATAATTAGAAACATAGGTTTAAGCACGTTTAAAGAGACTATCCTAGAGCCCTAATAAGCATTAGAGATATAAAGATATCTACCCTACTAGACTTAGAGGCTAAACTTAACATAATTTACCTAAAGATAGTATAGGCAGCAGAACTTATTATTACTTTAATGCTATAAGAAATAGCCTTATCCTAGCTATAAGCTACTAATAGGTTATTTAAATAATTTAAAGGAATAATCTAGCAGGCCTTAGTAACTATTAGGAATATTAAGATCCTAATAAACTTCTTTATCTTAAAATTATTATTAATACTAATTATACTTAGAAACCTATTCCTAGCAGATGCTTAATATGCTTTCTAATACTAAGCTAATAGATAAATAAGGTATATAGTCTACTTAGAAGATTATATATCTTATATAATATTTATAGCTATAACTAATAATATAGTAGGTATAGTTACTTAAGAATCTATAATTTTAAAAGGATTAGGAGTCTAAGTATTAGGCTTAAGACTCTAGGCAAGCAAGACCTAATAATAGCAAGTTCTAATAAACTATTAGTTATATCTACCTGCCTAGTAAGTAGGTATAGGCAGCCTAGATAAGCAGACTATTTAATACTTTTATAAGCAGTAAATAAGAATTAGCACGCGCTATATGCAGCTAGGTATATAGATAAGGACTTAAATAATATACTGCTTAACCTTATGCAGCTGCGCTAGGCAGAAGATTAATATATAATAAAAAAGGCAGGCTTCTAGGAAGGATTCTAATAGACTATTAAATACTAAGTTATAATAATATATAAGTTTAAAGCATGCAAAGTATAACTAGTATATAATTTATTAGTTATGCCTTATTAAGTAGAGGGCAAGCCTAACTAGAAGAAATAAGTAGGCAAATAGTAACTGCCTAATAGTAATTAATCCTAGTAGTAATTTACTAAGTATATTGCGCCCTAAATAGCTAAATTCCTATTAGGATAATATATAACTGCTAAGCAGCTCTAGTAAATAAAGATTATAAGTTAGCTATAACTATAAGAAAGAGAAATGCTAGTAGAAGTATTCTACTATTATAAGGGGGCACTAAGCTTTAACTTCTCTAAATCTAGACAAGTATATAATAACGTTTATCTACTAGTTTATATTAATACTATTAAATATAAGGTATAGAAAGAAGGTAATTTTCTAATCCTAGGGAAGCTTTAGGCAGAGGTAGCAAACATAATTCAAGAATATATAGATAGGGAAGTGCTAGAATACTTAAAAAGCCAATATAGTAATCCTTAGTTTCTAGTTAAAAAGAAAGAATATAGGTATTAGTTAATTAATAATGCCTAATAAATTAATAGGGTTACTATTTGCAATACTAACCTACTACCTAACCCTAATAAATTTTCTAAAGAATTTATAGAATGCTAAGTAGTATTACTAATTAACTTCTTCTCTAGGTATAACTAGGTTAAGCTATATAAGGACTCCTGCCTATTAATAGCGTTTTATATGCTGTCTTATAGGCTAGTGCAGCAGTGCATACTCCTAATAGGCACTATAAACTCTATTATAGAATTTATGCAAGTTATTATAAAGATTCTGCAAGATCTTATCTCTATAGCTAGTATACCCTATATAGATAATATTACTATTAAAGGACCTAAGATAGACTATAAAGGAGAAGAGTTATTACCTAGGGTTTAAAGGTTTATTAGGGAGCATATTATTAATATAGATAAGGTACTTTAAAACCTTAAGTTAGCTAGAGCAACTGCGTCTAGATTTAAAAGCAAATAGTGCTATAAGAGTATAAGCATTATTAGGTACATTATTAATAAATATAGAAGACACCTAGCGCAGAAGAAGGTTTATAAGATCCTAGAATAGCCTACCTATATAAGCCTAAAAGATGTCTAGATATTTATTAGGCTCTATATTTACTATAAAGTCTAGATATTAAACTTTGCTATTATTGCAGCGCTACTCTTTAACTTGCTTTAGAAAGATAAGGATTTCTAATAGACTATTAAGGCTGCTAACGCAATAGCTATGCTTAAGCAGCAGCTAATAACTGCGCTAGTATTAGTCTCTATTAACTATAATAAGCCTTTATGCCCTGTTATTATTTCTACAGATAGCAGCAAAAAAGGATAGGGAGCAGTAATCTAGCAGGAGAACCTAATAGGACATTAGCACTCTATATAATATAAATTAGGGGTATAGTTAGCCTTAGAGCAAAATTAGGATTCTAGAAAATATAAGTATAAAGCAATGCTGCTAGCACTAA